GTGCATTAGAGAAGTACTCTACTCAGCACCAGAAATAGCATTTATTGAGCACCTTTAATATGCCAGGCCGGGGGCTGGGGATTTAGCTCAGCGGCATAAGCGCCTGCCTTGTAAGCAGGCAGTCGTGAGTTCAATCCCCGGTACCGATAAAAAGGAAAAAGAAAAAAAAATATGCCAGGCCTTGGACTAACAGCCTACCTGTGTTATTTCATTTCAGCCAGTCTGTACCTCAGCCCTCAAATGGTTCTGGTATTGGGCCCATTTTACAGAGAAGGAAGCTAAGGCTTGAGAGACTTGCTCAAGGTCTCACAGTAGAGGAGTTAGGCTTTCAACCAGGTGGTTTGACCATGGCACAGGCTATAAGCCTCCACCTTATACAAATGGCTCTCTCCTGGTTCCCTCCATCTCTGCCCTGGGTGAGGTCACATCACCGCTTTGTCTCTTATTTTCCTTTCTGAGTGACCTGGAAAAAGTTACTGAAACTCCCTGAGCTACAGAATATATAAGCCTCTTTTCCTTCCCAGAAGTCTTGTCTTGTCTGTTTAAAACAGGGTCTTGGGGCTGGGGATTTAGCTCAGCGGCATTAGCGCCTGCCTTGCAAGCAGGCAGTCCTGAGTTCGATCCCTGGTACCGATAAAAAAACGAAAAAGACAAAAAAAAAACCAGGGTCTTACTATGCAGCCCAGGCCAGCCTTGAATTTGTGGCAATCCTCCTGCCTCAGCCTGTCAAGTCCTGGGATTACAGCCACCATGCCTGGCTCCTTCCCAGCTCTCTTACTTCTTCGGGGCATGGACATCTCAGTTTTCCTGCTGGGCTCACCCCTCCATGTGTGCTGGGGTAGAAAGGGACTAACCCCAGTCTCGGTCTCCAGGGGTGGGGCTGTGCTCCAGGCCTGGCCAACTGATGTCCTGCATTTCCTCTACAAAGACTGACTGTGACCCAAGCTGGGCCAATCAGAGGTGGTCGTGGGACATACTGTGGAATTCTTGGGAAATGGGTACAATTTCTGCTATTGGGGCGAAACGTTCAAAGGCTGCCTGGGAATTTGGCCAAACACCCCCCCCCCACACACACACACACCACGAATAGAATTAGTATCCCAACAATCCTGTGTAAAGCCTCAAATCCGGTTCGTTAACCTCCTAATTAAGTCAGCCCATAACCCTGTGCCTTTGTTTAACATCAGTTGAATGGAGTTTTTGCCCATTGCAACCAAAATGATCTAACTCCTGCAGGATAGTCAATCGTCTGGCTGGCAGCAGCATGATGTCAGCCCAAATACTGCACTGATTTTAAACATACATTTACGGACAATCTTGCCATGTGACTCATTCTCACGACCCACTTACTTATTGATGGGGAAACTGAGGCACAGTCAGATTTTTTTTTTTTCCCCTTCCGCAGCTGATACTCAGCAGTGCTGCAGACTTTTCTGGTTTTTATCTGGATATTTCCACAGCCACTGGGCAAATAAGCCTAACCTGAGTCTCTATTCTGGAGACAACCTTATCTGGTAGGGGTACCAGATACATTCAGATGAATTATGATACACAGAATGGAACAGTACACCATTTTTCAAAATAATTTTAGTTTGAAAATATTAAGCCATGCCTGGTGGCTTACACTTGTAATCTAAGAATTTAGGAAACTGAGGCAGGAAGACTTCAAGTTTGAGCCCAGTTAGTGGGACTCTGTTTTGAAATAAAAACATAAAAAAAAAGGGCTAAAAAAAAAAAAAAAAAAAAAGGGCTAAGGATCTAGCTCAGTGTGAAGGCCCTGGATTCAATCCTCTGTCTCTGTCTCTTTCTGTCTCTCTCGCTGTCTCTCACACATACTCGCATGCACACACACACACACACACACACACACACACAAACACACTCACAGAGGAAAATAGTACACGCCTTTTTTTGGTACCAGTGATCGAACTCATGACCCTGAGCTTGCCAGGCAGGCGCTTATGCCACTGAGCTAAATTCCCAGCCCCAGTATCCCATGCTTTTGCAAACACAGAGAAGCAACAACAGAATAATCAATGCCCATAACTCTAGCATTTAGAAAGATCCCTTCATAGATCATTTGTTATCTCTCTTTCTAATCTTTCCTTTTAGCATTTGTTCTCTATACAGTTTAGACCAGTATGTCAAACAGAAGTATAACTACCTTGTTCACCCAATATTAGTCCTAATTATTTCCTCTGTGAACACGATTGGGCAGTGTAAAGAGACTATTTTATTTTATTTTTGTACCAGGAATTGAACTCACAACCTTGAGCCTGCCAGGTAGATGCTGTGCCGCTGAGCTATATCACAGGCTAAAAAGATTATTTTAATATCTATATAAGCTGCCATTGTGTGGCTCTACCAGAATTTACCCAACCATTCTTCGGTGACTTTCAGGTTATTGTCCACTCTTTGCTGGGGAGAAACTAATTCAAACGGAAGAACAGGAAGTAGAGGGTGTCACTCAGGGGTAGAGTATGTGTTTTGCATGTCCAAGGCCTTGCATTCAACCCCCAGCACCAAATAAAGAAGCCACCAGGTGACATCTGCTTTCATCTCTGAAGGAGCCAGAATAGAAGGGGGTGGCACTGGCAGTGGGGAAAGACACGCTTTCTTCATTAGTCAGTGGTAGGTGCAGAGGACGCTGGAAGGTTGGGAAACATAGTTACAACTGTCCAGGAGCTAAGGTGGACTGAGCAAGGTGGTGGCCATAGGCCTGGAAATGAGCTGGGACCGCTGGGCTGCACATATCAGGTCGGGACTCTGTGTGTGTCTTCTCCTTGGAAAGCCTGAGCTTTCCTCCCAATGAGGAACAACCAACGACAGATCCCAGTGCCACCTGCTGCCCTGCCCTGCCACCAGGCTAGGTGACTTTCTGTGTTTGAGACCCTGTCTGGCAACCGATGCCTAAAAATACCCACCACCTGCCTTTGCTCACCCTCCTGCCAGTCTGGGGCCTCTGTAAGTTGAGACCCATGAGAGCCCTTGAAGAGCAGGGACCACGTTCCTGAATTTGGGTACAGTTGGCCTGACAGCTCTGCAGGGAACTGTATCAGAGGATGACTGGTTTGTAAGCATGACAGATACGGAGATAGTTGTGACAAGGACTTTACCCTGAAAGGATTAGAGTAGGGAGAGAGAAGTGGGGGCGGGGGGGGTCAAAAGCAAATGATGACACTGCAGTTCAGAAGCCTGGTCCCCACCCTAAAGGACTTCAGACCTAGGCTAGAAGCACAGTTTTCTATAGGACTCTGCCTTTGTAGGATATTCTTCCCAGTACAGATATTTTTACCTATGTTCACCATGCCAGCCCTTGTGCCAAGTCCTGGAGTTACATCGGGAAACAAAAGAACAGTATCTTTTTCTTTTTTTTCAGTACAGAAGTTTGAATCCAGGACTTCAGTAGGCAAGTGCTCTATCACTGAGCACATGACCAGCCCGGGACCAAAGTCTTTGCCATCATGCAATGTACGTTCTCCTGCAAGAAGACAGACAGCAAAACAGGGACACTTCGCAGTACAATAGAAATGAAATGTTACTGGGGAAATAGAGCAGAGCAGGGTGAAGGGGCCACACTGAGTACATATGAGGGGTCTGGAAGTTTTACTGGGGCGTGGGGCTAGTTTGGTGTCTGGGGGAGCAGCGGTCGCAGCAGAGGGAACAGCAGTGCAAAGATTTGCCTTGCAGCTCAATGTGTTTGATTTGTTCTGGGAACAACAAGGGGCCAGTGAAGAGGTAGAGATGAGCAGGAGATAAAGTCACAGGAGATAAAGTCACGCTTATCCAGGGAGGAGGAATGTCATATTCAGGCTTTGTGCAGACTTGAAAGGACTTTGCCTCTTATTTAGAATGAAATGAAAAAAGGGGTTTGAGAGAAAAAAGAATAGAATGAAATGAAGAGTAGCTGGAAGGTTTTGAGCAAGCATTGTTTTGTCTTAGCATGATATATTTATTTTGCAGTGCTGGAGATTGAATTCAAGACCTTACACTCAAAGGTTGCTTTAGGTTTTAAAAGAATATCTCTCCCTTGGGGCTGGGGATTTAGCTCAGCGGCATAAGCACCTGCCTTACAAGCGGGGTCGGGTTGTGAGTTCATCCCCAGTACTGATTAAAAAAAAAAAAAAATCCCTCTGATTCTCCCATTAACATAGAACAGACCAGAGGGCAAGGTCAGGAAAAGGGAGCTGGGTTTCAAGAACCTTGCAGTAATCCTGGGTGGGTGGTGGCAGTAGGAGGGACTGGAAGAGGGTATAGTTTAGATGTTTACAGGCAGGGTCAATAAGGTTTCCAGGATGAATGTAGGAGTCCGGGGACAGGGGCTGGGGGTGCCCGCAGCTGATACGGGAAGGCTGCAGGAGAGCAGGTTTGCTTGTGTGTTGAGAGTATGGTGGGCTTGGACCTCCACCAAGTGTTAGTAGACAGCCTGGGAGCCCAAGCAAAACTTGTGGATCTTGAGCATATCAACTCAGAATCTGATTGTATATTATGCTCTTCAGTTAACTGGGTGACGTGTGGACAGGCAAACGGAAATGGACCAGGCAGCTGTAATGGTACCTGTAGCATCCCGCTGGTTAGGCCCCAGCGGGGCGGGGCGGGGCGGGGGCAGAAACAAGGTGCTAAATGGGATGGGAAGAAAAAAGCCTCTGGCCCTTTGAAATTTCACATCCACTATTCCACAAGCATCCTTCACGCAACAAGTGACCGCTGCGTTTTGTACCTTCAAAACAGACTTACATAGAGGGTGAAACACTAGGCAGCCACCATGTGTCTGAGACGGACTGTACGCCAGGGTTCCGTCTTGGAGCCCCAGGAAGTTAAGTGAGGGGAGGAAACGAGGCGGGGGGAGGAGGGGGTGCCGCAGGGCGGCGGCGAAATCTTGGTCCCCGGGAGCCGCTCACAGGCATTCGCGGCGCTGTCCCTTTAAGGCCGGGCGGGTGATCTCAGCCGCGCGCTCCCTGCCCCGCCCTTCCCGAGGGCGCCCCCTATTGCGCATGCGCCGGCGCTCCTCTGGGCTCAGACGCGCCGGCCGCGGCCAGACCGGGGCTGTGGCGTCGCCCGCCCGCCCCGCCCGCAGAGCTGGTCGCCGCGCGTCGCCCGCACGCGCCACCGCCATGGGCTCCTGAGGTACTCGCCCGGGCGGCCTCGCGCCGGGGACCTGGAGGGAGCGGCTGCGGATTCCGCGGGGCGGGGGCTGCGAGGGGTGGGAAAGGCCCGCGAGGGGGTCGCGGCGCCCGCGGGTTCCTGGGCGAGGGGAAGAGACGGCCGGCCTGGCCACTGAGGGAGGGGGCGTCCGTGGCGTCGCCGATCCTGTCAGATCCGCCCCTTGCCCTGCGGGGTCTCGGGGCGACCCCTGGGTGTGCCCGTTCCCCCTTCACGCCAACGTGGCGGGGGCCGCGCCGGGAGCGTAATCCGACCTGCCGGTGGGGGTGGCTGGGGACGGGGCGGAGGACAGACCGGCCCCTGCAAGTGGGGCTGCACGCGGCCGCTGGGGGAGAGAGGGAGGCATCCGTGCCCTGTGCGGCGGCAGCGGCGTACCCCTGGTACCGTGGGTGTCCTGGGTTGTGTGTTTGGAGAGGACGGACGCGAGGCTGGGGTTCCAGGGTTATTTGCCTACGAGGGACTTCAGAGGCTGATTTAGAAGCGTGTGTCCCGTGGGCTGGTCTTGTGTTTCTTCCCTAGGCACGCCCTTGAGCTCCTAGCTTGCTTTACTTGCATCTGTGCGAGGTGGCTCCAGGCCATGCCCAGGCACTGCCTGGACTGGGGAGTGGGCATGGACTCCCAGGCCACATCCTCTCTGGGGTTTGTGTGAGGCCAGACATTTCACCCCACCCTCTGTTCCAGGGCATCGCGGGGCAGAGCAGGTGTTTGCATGCCTGATACCTGCCTGCGAGGTGAAGGCCATGTATTATGTATGCGAGCGCCCAGCGTTTTATGTAAGGCAAGAAGTAGCAATCTGTGCCCTGGAGGCCGGTGCACTGCTGTCAGCCTGGCACGCCTGCACACCTGTACCTGCCGAGGCTGAGGTCTCAGGTGTGACGTTCATGGTGGGTTGTTTGCAGCACCCCTTCTTGTGCTCCTTGTCTCTGGGCTTTGGTGATAACAGTCTTGTCCATAGTGCTGTGAATGTCGGGGTTAGAATTGGGGATGGGAGAGCACTGGCAAGCCAAGTCCTTGTGTCCAAGTTTGACACAAACACAACAGCAGGTGTCCTAGGCATCTGGTGGCTCTTAGGTGGGTGGAGAAATCAAACTTGGAAACAGCAATGTGAAAAACTAAAAACAAAGAAACAGGAGTGCAGAGGTGGGTTCATTGCTGGACAAGGGGGAGCAAAGCCAGTGAAAAAGCCGCTAACACAAAGGGACAATTGAGCCGAAGCTGGAAGGGTGGCTGACATTCCTGTGAGGCTTTTGTGCTTTCCACGAATACTTTGCCAGTTCATTCTCACAGCAGCTGTGTGAGAACTGTTTGTTGTTACCCTGTTTGTCGCTGAGGGAAACTGAGGCTTTGAGGAAATTTGTGCCACTCTTGACCGTGATATGGGCTGCTCAAGTGGGGTCACCCTTGAATCAGAGCTTTTCTCTTGCTGCCATATCTTGTTGCTTGTAACTTTCTGAGCATGTACTACACGCCAAGCACCATGCTAAGGGTACAGGGGTCTGAAGATGAGTGGTACCTGAGCCTGCCTTGTGGGTATTCCCAGTCTGCTGGGGAGATGGACATAGATAGTGGCCCCAATCCACACTGGAGTCCTGAGTGGCTAGTGTGAGTTAGGCGGGCACTGTAAAAACTCCCCAAGAGCCATCAGTAACCTAGGGGTCTTACAGTGTAGCCCAGGCTGGCCTTAAACTTTGTATGATCGGCTTGCCTTGGCCTTGTGAGTGCTGGGATTACAGGTGTGCACCCTCAAGTCTGGCTAGGGTAAGTCGCCCTTGGGGTAGTTGGGTATACCCGACCTTGGGGTAGTCTAAATCCCTCCCCCAGCTGGAAGAACAGTTTCCCCACCGGACAGTGGAGGTAACCTGCTTGTCCTGGTCCATTCGAGTTGGTTCTGTGGGCTGCAGCTGTGTTCTCCTACTTGCTGTGTGTTTGAGGTTTTGTACCTGGTAGCTGGCTGGCCTGCCCAGCCTTGTCCCTGAGAGGGGCTCGGTGCTATTTCCAGTCCCTGCTGTGCTCATTTCTCTCCGTATACTCCCTGGAGTAGAAACAGCCTCTGCAAGGCAGGGTACAGCCTTTATTGTTTTGAAAACGAGTAGCAGCCAGACTGAGACTGGGGATTTGGAGGGTGAGTTCTGGGAGGCCTGCAGCTGGGCCCTGGGAGTTCAGGGTAGGGTCTGTGCCAGGACCTCGGCCAAGGCCCTCAGGCGGGCAGCGCTTGCTGGACACCTGTTGTACAGTCTGCCCTTGCTGGGCCTCAGGAAGAGAGGCCAGAGCAGTGGGTCGGTCTCTTGAAAAGGCTCTGGTTGGCTGTGGGAGCCAGTGTAACAAATACCATAAGACAGTGTGCTACTTGTGGTAGAGACAGAGGGCCTTAAAGGGGCCCAGAGGACAATAGAAACAACAGCTCATTTATTGAGCACTTACTGTGTGCCAGGTGCAGTTCAAAGTGCTTTTTTGTTATTGTTTTGGTTTTTTGTTTCAGTTTGGTTTTTTGAGATAGGATCTTGATACTAGATCACAGTGAACTCTATGCAGCCCAGGCTAGCCTTGAACTTGCAGTGACCTTCCTGCCTCAGCCTTCTCAGTGCTAGGGTTACAGGTATGTGTCACAATGTTTGTGATGTTTGGCCTCCAAGTGCTTTCATGAGTTACTGTTTCCTCCTCCCACCACCCAGAAGGTGGGGCCATCACCTTACGCATTGAAAGCTGAGCCTCGCACTTCCTCACTGACCTGGGGCGCGCCGGATGTCTTCTGGGGCCTGAAGGATGAGGGTGCTGGACCCATGAAGGAAAAGAAGGAATTCTGGTGAGAAGCAATGCCGGGAAGATGTGGAGGCCCGACAGATGTGGGTTCGATGGTCCTTCATGAAGACCTCTGAAGGTCCCAATGGGGAGTCTGGGCTTGACCCCAGTGTGGTCAGCAGGGAGCCTTTGAAAGTTCCCAGAAGGAAGCCACAGGCTCAGCCCTGTGTTGGGAAGCAGTGTCATCCTGTCTTTCTTCCTTCATTCCTGTCCTAGCTCCGAGAAAGCCTGCCTCCCTGCTGTTTGCTTCTCCTCTGGCCCCGGTGTCCTCTTAGTCTCTGTTGCATTTCTTTTCGCTTCTTCCAGAAGCTTCTGGTCAGAGGTCCATGAGCCCTGAGCCAGGCCTCTGGAGCCACCATTGTCATGGTGTCTGCTTCATAGCTGGTTTCTTCTGTCCACTCCCTGAGTTGGCTCCACTGAGCTGCAATTTATTTTTTCTAGGACTGAAGTTTCCTGGTTTTCCTAGGTCGTGTGGGTTCCACTGACCTCTTACGCCACAGATCCGGGGACTTTGGGGAGGTGTGTCCGTCATCCCTGGCCCCCGTCCATCAGCTCTGTGAGATGGGAGGGCAGAGCTGGAAGCTGGGTCTAACTGCTGGGTCTCACCCGGAGCTCACTGAAGTCCTGCTCTCGGAGGATGCAGCCGCACGCTAGTCCCAGCAGACTGTGGTGACTTACACCCTTGTCTCCTTCAGGGCAGCGGGCCCTGGGGTAGGACACAGCCCTGGGGCTTAGTGTGAGTGTTTCCGAAGTCCCGCAGAGGGAGGAGCGTGGGAGCTGATGGGCAGAGGATGTGAGGGCGGAAGTTGGAATTGGGTGCCTTGGGTTAGGAGCTGGAGAATTCAGGAAGGGTCAAAGTGATCACCAGGGGCCTGGCAGCAGGAGGAGAGGAGATAATGAGCCAAGTCCTGCTGGTGACCTGGAGGAGAATGAGGGAGCACATGTATCAGCTTTGCTTTATCAGCCTTGTATTCTTGGGCAAGTTACTTACTGGTTTCTGATTCTTGTCTTTTAAACAGGGAGTGGGGATGATGCAGTTTCCTTTATCGATAAAGCAGGAGTGTGCAGCTGTCCGACTCCTGCCATGCAGAGCTGCTTCCGCTCTGGGTTTGGCACATGGGACATCCTCAGGACACCAGCTTCATCTGTGAGCTTACAGGCCACTTACTTTATTTAGGAGGGTCTCCGTCCTGACAGCCAGTGGTTTGTGGGTAACTGAGTCCAGCTGGGGAGAGAAACATCAGACACAGGACGATTGGGATTGTCAGGGTGCTTTCTTTGAGGGAACATTAATTAGGCAGATACTTTTTTGGTGAAGTGATAGTTAAACTGTTACTATGTGAGCCAGTTGTAGTAATCCCAGGACTCTGGGAGGCCGAGGCAGGAGGCCTGTTAAGTTTGGCACCAGCCTGGGCAATTTAGCGACCTACAGACATTGTCTAAAATTAAAAAATAAGGAATCAAAATGTATCGTGTGGGTACAGATTCCCTATGATGAATATGATCATTAGGTATATCTAAAATGTACCAATAAGGGCTGGGGACTTAGCTCAGTGGCTTAAGTGCCTGCCTGGCAAGCGCAAGGTCATGAGTTCGATCCCTGGTACCAAATAAAATAAAATAAAAAGTACCAGTACGTAGGCTCTGGGCTAGGCTACAGTGGATGTGGGGCGTCACCATGTAGAAAGGGTTAGGTAGGCTCCAGATGGAGGGAACAGTATATGCAAAGGCCTGTGTTCACATCTGCAAAATTGTGTGCCTTGGACCTAGCACCTAGCAGGGCCAAAATAAATCCTCACTGTCTGGGGCCTGGCCTCAGACTCAGGCCAGAAAAGGCAGAAGGAAAGTAGAAAGGGCCATGGTGAGGATTAGATGGACCCCCAAGTTTTGGATTTTCTCACCCCTCCCATCATCTGCACTGCCGCCATATAGGTGCAAGCTGGGCTTTGGGTAGAGGAGACCTTTGGCAACTGTTGGCACTGTTAACAGGCGTGCTCCTTCCAACTCTGCTCCTCCAATGGGCTGCAAGGAGCAGATGACATGCAGAGGGAGCTGAGGAGCTGCAGCGGGCAGTATCTATCTCTTCCCATGCCTGGCCACTGCATGCTAACCTGGCTGGAGCCACACTTGGGGAGAACACAGCAAAGGGGTTCGTGGCTTCCAGT